CCCCCCCCCCCCTGGGTCCTTTGATCCCGCCGGTCTTCCTGCTCCCCTCGCGCCGCGCCCCCCCTGTCCGCTCCCCGATCCAGAGACGGACGACAACTCCACACCAGGCTTCAAGCACCCCTCTTGTCGCGACGCTACTGCTACCGCTGCTCAAGCAACTACTGCTGGCTGCTGGCTTGCTGCGTGTTGCTGCATCTTCGCTCTTCCCTCTTCCCTTCCATCCACACCCCCCCCCTCCTCTCCCCAATTTCCCCTTCCTTGTTGATCATGCTATTCAAAGTAGCATACACTCTGCCTTGTCAATTCCCTCGGAAGTGTTGAAACTGGTGCCGTAACTGGGAAAAGGTCCAAAGCGAGCTTTCCCGTCGTCGACTGTCCATCGTGCTAAAGTAAGAAAGTGGCTCGTGGTGGTTAATTTCGCGTCTCTCCCGAGGCTGCTGCTGCTCTCCCCTTCCCGCCCGCGTCGGTCTCGTCCCTCCGATCTCCAATTCCTCAATCTCTCGAGCCGCAGACTCTCTTCCCCCCCCCCTCCCTCTTCAACCCATTACCCACCTGGGTAGCCATTACTCGTGGGAAGAGGCCAAGGTCTAAGAGTCAATTCTGCAGTGCAGATATTTCCCCCCCCTTCTTGCTGCGATCCATCAATATTACCAGGGGTTCGCAAGAAATCAAAAAAGAAAAAAAAAAGAAAGAAAATTCAAAATCCACAACAAGCAGCAGCTTATGCGTTTCTTTGACAAACGCGAGTATTGACTAGCTTCCTCTTCTTTATTTTCGCCGACGTCGCTTTGCACTAATATTCTGCTGCTTCTAATCGACCTGGTGTCCTTTATACCAACATCTTTCTGCTTTTGTCGGTGACCCAGTTACCCTGTCAGTTGTTTCCCTAAACCATTCATCCCTTATCGGTGGTTCGAATGGGACCTCCGATGACTGAGACTGACTCGAGAGACAACAGCTCAGCTGCCCGACCGGAACCCTTTAGCTCCGGATTGATCGGTCACTGTCTCCCCCCCACAAACAGATAGTAAAAACGAAAAACAACGACGTCCTCTTTTATCTCCCTCTGGAGGGCTTGGACGTGTCGGACTTCAGCTCGCCGATCGCAATTGCTCCATCAGAGCGAACCGAGGTGATCGCTCATCTGCCGTCTCGCGTCTGCCTGAAGAGGCTGTCCCGGACCGCAAACGCAGCAGTCCTCATCTCAAAGGCTCTGCTGCGTCTTCAATAAACGAAGGTATGTGACGTGCTGCCCTACACTGTTGGCCGAGATTCCACATTGGTCTGCCCCTCCCCCGTGGCTGCTCCTGTCCACATTCCTCCCCCTCCAGCTCCGTCATTCCGATATATGCGCCGCAACTCCGCTGTCAGCGTCGGCGCGACAGTCGCCGCGATGGAGCGTCACACAGCGCAATCCGTGTAGTGCTAACGGCTCAGCAGCTAGCCTCCTCTTCGGTCCTGACAGCTTCTTTCGGCTATGAACGACTCCCAATCGCAGTCCTTGCCGCTCACCACCCATGCATCCCCAGCCTTGACACCCGCAGCGCCGTCCGAGCAGGACAACAACCGCTCTCCCGTTTACCCCGACCTACTGGGTGCTCCGCCCGTCCCGCCGCCGAGGACGTCGTCAACCCACCGCGGTCACCATGGTTCCAGTGCAAAACCCTCCTCATCCTCCGCCGAAAAGTCCTCGAGTTCTCGTCACGGAAAGAACAAAGCCGATGACCGGAGTGCAAGCCACCGTGAGAGGAAGGGGGAGGACAGCCAATTTCGCCCGGTGAACATGCCCGAGGAATACCCGCAGGGTCCGAGCTCCCACGCGCCGGGGGCACTGTCTTCGGAGGATAACATGGAAGGTTATGCAGGCCAGGGCGAGCTACAGAAGGAGTCCAGCGCAGTACTCAATCAGGTCCTGGTGAGTGATCCGTCTGTGGACATCGAACGGGAGCAGGTCCGGCAGGCCGGCTCGTCGGTATCCCCATCGACGGAGAGCGCTCCAGCATCCGGGTTGGGCTTGGTAGGAAGCGATGGTGTGGATGATGGAGGTCGAGGTGGACTACGAAGCCGGCACGACTACTCGGATCATGCTGTCAAGCGCAAGGAGACGACGTTTGGCCAGTACATTCTTGGGCAGACGCTGGGTGAGGGCGAGTTTGGCAAAGTGAAATTGGGGTGGAAGAGAGACGGCACCATACAGGTAGCCATCAAGCTCATCCGCAGGGAGTCTCTTGGGTCAAATCCTAGCCGGTTACCCAAGATCTACCGCGAAATCTCAATTTTGCGCGACCTCGCTCACCCGAACATCGTTCGGCTCCACGAGATGGTCGAGACGGACCGTCACATCGGTATTATCATGGAGTACGCCTCTGGGGGTGAGCTCTTTGACCATATTCTGAACAATCGGTACCTCAAGGACAATGCCGCTCGTCGCCTGTTTGCGCAACTCGTTTCGGGTGTGGGGTATCTTCACAAGAAGGGTATTGTCCATCGTGACTTGAAACTGGAGAACCTGTTGCTGGACCGGAATCGCAACATCATTATCACCGATTTTGGCTTTGCGAATACGTTCGACCCCATGGACGAATTGGGTGATGAGATCGAATATAACCTGACGAACAAGGAATTCGTTAAGCGGATGCGCTTGGACAGGCCCAATGCCAAGGGTTTGAGGCGAGGTGATCTGATGCAGACCAGTTGTGGAAGTCCTTGTTATGCCGCGCCAGAGCTCGTGGTCAGCGACTCGCTATACACTGGGCGCAAGGTCGATGTGTGGAGCTGTGGTGTGATTTTGGTGAGTGACCCTCTCGTATCATAGTCATTGCACCGCGCTAATTGATTCATAGTATGCTATGCTCGCGGGATATTTGCCCTTCGATGATGACCCGGCGAACCCGGACGGTGATAACATCAACTTGTTGTACAAGTACATTGTCACTACCCCTCTTACATTCCCGGAATATGTGACCCCCCACGCTCGCGATCTTCTGCGGCGGATATTGGTGCCTGATCCTCGGAAGCGTGCAGACCTGTTTGAGGTGGCCCGGCACAGCTGGCTCAGCGAGTACTCGCATATTGTTTCCCACATCACGAGCAGCACGACCAAGGTTGCGGACATTGCCACAACCACCGTCACTCAGGGTATGGATCTCGCCAGGAATCCTGCAGGCTCTGTCACTAACCCGGTGTCTCGGGCAGAACCGCACAAGGAAGTGCCGTCGCTGGCACGCAGCGCATCCGTTCGGGAGCCTCCGAAGACATACAACAATAGCCCTGTTCCCTCGGTGGGAGGACTGATCCACCATGCAGGAGACATTTCCCAAGAGCAGGCCGCCGAACGGTCCAAGACTCCTCGAGACACCAAACGACGAACCGTGCAGGTCGAATATGTTGCACCTCAGTCTCAAACTGCGCGGGGCGAGGTCCCCCCTACCGGAGTGGATGCAGGTATCGCGGAGCCAGCTGGGCCGTCGGAGCCTCGACCGACGAGAGCCAGGTCAAATAGTCGGCCCATCGTGCCTAATATGCCTTCGGGCACCCTGGCCCGTGATATGTCTGGCGCGTCCAACGTGCGGACTGGAGAGCCAAAGGCAGCCGCTGGCCCGGCGCCGGCACCTGCTCCTGGGCACTTGCCTCGCTCAACGTCCGATACTTCTGCACTCACTGGGACGGCACCAACATCTGCGACCCATGCCACCCGCCCCACTACCGGCGGCTCCATGGCCTCGTTCAACGCCGGTCGTTTGCCATCACGAGGCTCTTATGGACAGCCGGTTGCGCCAACTGTGGCCGCTACGAACGCCCAGGGTCGGCTCGCACAGCCAAAGAGCAAGCAATACGTTATCTCCGCCCCTCTCCAGCAAGATTCGTCGTCCCAACAGTCCATTGGTCAACCAAGTACACAGCAACTACCGGCCAAGTTCAACACGACACCCCGA